TAACAAAACGCGACACGCGACAATGCGACAACGCGACATTTCATGAAAATGTCGCGTTGTCGCATTGTCGCGTGTCGCGTTTTATTAGTTATGGCGGATTTTATAAACTATCACCAGCATGATTACTTTTCGATGTTTGGAGTGGACTGGAGTGGAGTGGAGTGAGTGAGTGGGTTGAGAGGGAGTTGAGCGGCGTGAAATGAGTGAGTGACTGAGTGAGTGAGCGTAGCGTGGAGTGGAGCGGAGTGAATAGGAATGAGTGAGTGAGTGGAGCGGGGAGTGGAGTGTGCCAGTGAGTCAGTGAGCGGAGGGTAGAGGAGTGATGCGGAGTGGAGTGGAGCGGAAGGGAGTGAAGTCGAGTGAGTGAGTGGAGCGGGGAGGGGAGCGGAGTGAGTGAGTGGAGAGGGAGCGGAGAGGGGAGCGGAGTGAGTGGGTGGAGTGGAGTAGAGTAGAATGAGTGACTGAGTGAGTGGAGTGGGGAGTGAGTGAGCGGAGTGGAGCGGAGAGGAGTGCGTGGGTGGAGAGGGAGCGGGGAGTGGGTGGGTGAGTGGGTGGATTGAAATGAGTGAACGGAGTGGAGTTAGTGATTGGAGCGGAGTGGAACGCAGTGAGTAAGTGAGTGGAGGGGGGAGAGGAGTGGAGTGACTGAGTGAGTGGAGCGGAGTTGAAAGGAGCGGAGTGGAGTGAGTAAGTGGTGCGGGGAAGGGGCGGAATGAGAGACTAAGTGAGTGAGTGAGTAGAGCGGGGAGCGGAGAGGAGTGAGTGGGTGGATTGGAGCGGCGTGAAATGAGCGAGTGAGTGAGTTAGTGAGTGAGCGTAGCGTGGAGTGGAGCGGAGAGGAATGAGTGAGTGAGTGGAGCGGGGAAGGGAGTGAGTCAGTGAGCGGAGTGGAGCGGAGTGGAGAGGAGAGAAGTGGAGCGGGGAGGGGAGAGAGTGAGTGAGTGAGTGGAGAGGCATTGGGGAGTGGAGCGGAGTGAGTGAGTGAGTGAGTGACTGGGTGAGTGGAGCGGGGAGGGGAGTGAGTGAGTGAGTGATACATACTGTACATAATATTTTATCAAAACGCGACACGCGACAATGCGACAACGCGACATTTCATCAAAATGTCGCGTTGTCGCATTGTCGCGTGTCACGTTTCATTAGTTATGGCGGATTTTATCACCAGCATGATTACTTTTCGATGTTTGGAGTGGAGTTGAGCTGAGCGGGACGGAGTGGAGTGGAGTGAGTGAGTGAGTGGAGCGGGGAGTGGAGTGGAGGGAGGGAGCGAGCGAGCGAGGGTTGATTTCTGGCACTCCAAGGGTACGCAACTCTGCCAAGCGATTCGACCGCTTTTAAAATCATAATCATAACATTCCATTTGTATGGCGTTTTCCCAAGAACAATATCACGTTCAAAGTCGACCAAAACTGTCTTTGAGGTGCTGGATGGTTAAGTGATATTACCATGTCATTCTACCTGGTATCCATCCGCTGCTGGCTGAACAAGTTCATCAGCGTCGGACAGGACTGTACTGAGAATGTCTCAGAGGAGCCGCACTGTGGAACATAGTGACCCATTCGTGGACATCACTTGATGTTTCTGCCGATGTGGCCTGAATTATAACAATATTTGAGTTTTTTCACAATCTGTGAGCTTGATATGGGTGAAATGTCCAAAGTGACGAGTGTGTATGGTGCTGGGATTAGAACCTATGATCATAGCTTTCTGGTGTGACTAAGAGACACAACTCTGCTCAGCAAATTGCCCCGCCTTGAATGACACAGTCACCGTGTGCCGTGATTACAATGAATAGTAGCGCTAATAATTTGTCTTGATGCTAAAACACACTTGATTGGCCAAATACATTTACAATACAGTCAAATCCCGATGAGTCGAATGCCGGTGTCTCGAATAGTATGCATAACTCGAAGTACCTGTCGGTCCCGACCATTCCCTGTTATAGTTGTCATCATTTTTTTCTACCCTCATAGACATACCTATGTCTCGAATACATCGATAAGTCGAATTTATTACTTGGTCCCCAGAGATTCGACTCATCGGGATTTGACTGTATTGTAAATGTATTTGGCCAATCAAGTGTGTTTTAGCATCAAGACAAATTATTACAATAATTTTCAAAGCAACAATGAAAGATTTCCATTAAGTTCAAGAAAAAGCAGCCCCCATTGTCATTACGCGTAGTACTTCATTGTAAAAACCATTGGAGGTAACAAAAGACCACTGAAATGTGTAATAGAGTATAACATTTCCTGCGCATGCGTAGACTCATTGACTTTCTACGCATGCGCACCGGTAATCGAAAAGGGCGAAAACGCGACACGCGACAATGCGACATAAAAATGTCGCATTGTCGCGTCGCGTTTTAGTAATTTTTAGGCTTCTTTTACACATCTTAGATAGGGCGACGCGCGACAACGCGACATATTTTGACCTTGAAAATTGTCGCTATGTCGCGTGTCGCCCTTTGGAGGAATAGAAAAATATTATTCAAAACGCGACACGCGACATCGCGACAATGCGACAAATGGGCGAAATGTCGCGTTGTCGCGATGTCGCGTGTCGCGTTTTGGTTTATTTTGCCTCACTTTACTTGTTTTTGACAACGCGACAATGCGACATAGCGACAATGTCCCTTACAGTATTCCATACAAATCACTCTTCGTTAGTTTTCAATAAAAAAATGTAGATTCTACATATCTGAACACGGTACTGCCATTAGATTTGCAGTGCAGCGATGTCATAGCATTGTGACGTCATCAAGTTCATGACGCCATAGCATTGTCAGGGCATTGTACAAATCTACTGTCGTATGATCTCACACAAGTAAAATCTCCCGTGGTACACAGTTTTGGATAATATATATATTTAACACACATTACAGACATACAACCAACATCATTGACCTAATGACAACCATAATGAATGCAACCTTTATGTCCTAGCCACGATGATGTTTCTGGCAACTGCTTCTGGGTTCTGTTCCACGGTGCTAAGACGGTCGACGGAATCTCAGAACAGGTCGACTGAAACCACTCCTGAAGCGGAGCCTCTTGGAGGAGACTCGTGTTCCCCTTAGTTAATATGAAGGTTGATTACTGTTGTATTTTATTGGGATGTTTTGTTAAACAAGGCTGTAACTGTATTAAATGTTCCGTCAGTTACAGCTCATAACTTTATGTTTTAACAAATATTAGTTGTCAGGAATGTATTACTATCTAGTGTAAGCAGTAATGGGGAGGTTTTTATGCTTCTGAATATATTTGATGTATTCGGAGTCAAGTGTTAAACATCCAATGACCAATCGAGCATTATATATATATAGAACCTTTGCACGGAGTGAGAAGGTGTGTGATTGGTTTTACGCCGTTTTAGTAATACTTCTGCGGGATAGACCAAAAATGGCTTTCACACATTTTACACATGTGGGGAATCAAACGCGGGTAGGGTCATCGGCGTGACGCTTTGACCATTACACCACCGCGGCTACCCCATTGCCCCTACTAGAAGGTATTTAGACTTTAAGTGAGCAAGCCCATACCTTTATCAGCTCACATTGCATTCAGGCCAGCTGATCATAATTTGACCCTTAATATCTCTCCTGGGCCAGTATAGAATTATGACCACTGTTGTTGCTGGGGGAATATTATTATCACTGTCTGTATTGCTATTATCACTATTATTGGATTTTATACTGCCCTTGCAAGTGTACTACCACTGAATTTTGTACTTTCAGTCTATTGTTTACTGCCAGTGTAACTACATTGCGAGACTTTGTATTGATACTTTTATAATAGTACTGTTATTTGTAAAACATTGCTTTGCCGTTCGTTTGTTTTACTAAGAAGTCTCTTCGTATAGATTTCCGAGTAAACATTTTTGTTTTTTACTGAAAATATTTTAATTGTGCGTAAATACATGTGTCACGCAAACATACACCTGGTGAACTGGCACGAAATATCCTTGAAACGCTGTGTATATATTAAACAGTTGTTACCCATAACATACTGTAAAATACAAGTCATTTCTCGCTGCGCATGAATGCAAAACTGCTGATGCTGCGTTAAGAAATACTACAGTCTATACATGTAATACATGTACTCACTCACTCACTTGTCCATAATGATACACAATGTTCTGTTTACACCCTACTTCTAAATATCTTTACAGACAAGTCAGGGACATGGCTGCCCCCCTAGTTTACGGTACTGCTATTCGCTGTACAGAGTTGCGTCCCTTGAACACGCCAGGAAACTATGATTGTAGGTTCGAATCCCGGTTCGCCCTGATTACTCCTGATTTGTCACCGCCATCTGCAAACTGCATCACATGGACCTTTATTCTTATGTTAAGCTCATATGTTTTGTTTGTTTATTGTTATAACGCCACACTCAGCAATATTCCAGCTATATGACTCGGTCTGTAAATAACGAGTCTGGACAAGACAATCTAGTGATTGACATCATGAGCATCCATCTGCGCAATCGGGATACGATGACATGCATCGACCAGGTCAGCGAGCCCGAGAACCCGATCCCGTTACTCGCCTCTTATGACAAGCATGGGTTTACGTTTAGGCTGATACGTGATATAACTGAAATACTGTTAAAAGCGTCGTCAAACCCATCTCACTCACTCAAACATAAAGCTGATAAACGATTAGGTCGATAATCCTACTGTTTTGTAATTGATATGGTTCAGAACGAAACATTCATTTATAACAAGCTGTAACCCTAAACTAAGCGACGAATCCTGTGACAGTACCATAATTAATTATATTTCACACATTTTATCCAAAACCAGTATATCATTAATGAAGATACACATACGAAACAACAGACCAACAACCAAAAATTAGACAGGTTAACACTTTGTTGCGTCATTCAACTGAAGATGACTTGGATGAACATTGTCAAGTAAACTCAAAGATCTGTGTGTATCAACACTCGAAACGACCAGACGTAACTACCCAACCGAGCCACCGCTGTCGATTTGTGCAAACAAGTGTGCGACATTGACAAATTGAAATGCATCTTGCTGAAGCCATTGTGATACTGAGTGCAGTATTGTGCAAGGTCAAGGCCATGATGTGCAGACGCAGCACATAATTGCTCTGCTGGATTACGCTGGAATGACCTGGAGCTTTTGTACAGGTGATTATACACTACACAGGTCATAGTCATCTTTGATTACACGTGATATTTGGTATTTCAGACAGGACCAGATACATTACAGTACAGATCCAGTTTTGATAACAAACTCAGTTGTGGTTGAACAGATTCAGTTCGTTGCGTGCATACAGATATGTGGTAACTGGCAGACATATCTATTTATAGCTATACTCCGTCGAGTAAAGCGAAGTTTACACATGTGTATAGGTGTGTTCTGCTGTGTTTGTTATAGTGAATCTGATCTATATATGGACGTTTTGCATGTTTTTATGCGCGCATAAACTGTTGTCGTCGCTGTGGTTGCCATAACACCGATACCACCGACACGTTTACTAACACAATCCCTTGTGTTCCATCACAGAGTCAGTGTAAGGAGCGCATATCACCACATGCGCAACTTTACAACCAAATCCTCATTGTGGTCACTGACTACATAACATACAAATAAGTCGTGCAGTTTTGTTAACACACGTCAATCATCCGACATTGTCACCACGATAACAAGTCGGTCTCTAGATGGTCACGTGACGATCGCCATTTTGTCGTCTGCTTTTTGACGTTTCAAAATCTGGATCTGAGCCAAAACAAGTTACTTGCTAAAATAGCAAGAATATTGTTTCTCCTTTACATTCACTTATTTTGTATAGGAAATCACAGAAAGTATTGGTGGTATTAAAAGTATCCACTTCAAGTTTCCGATAGTCAATTTCTCACTTACTTCACACCGGATACGCTCACTCCGGCGAAGTCCTCAGTTGTGCGCTGTTGAACACGGGTGACCGAACAAAAAAGGCAGTGATGAAATATTTGTATTATAATTGAGACTAACACACTTTCAACGCAATTCAAATTAAATCTTGCATTTAGAACTTTAAAAGGAGGCCGCCTCAACTGAAGGAGAGACCAGTGCAACAGAAGGGGCCACCATTTCAACCGCTGAATGGCGTTAAAGTGCGGGTAAATATTGATTACACTGGCATATGAACGATTAATGCAATCTACATGCAATCTGTCACGATTAAATGACCCATTCACAGCATGTGCTGTTTTCAGTGTTATCCATATGAACATTGTTAAATACTTATATTTGCAAGTTGTGTCACTGATTCCCTGCAAGATTGATAGATTTCATGGCGGATTGGAGAATGTAATCTGAATTCATAATATTGAAAAATACCATATGTGTAATGATCCGTGATGAAGATTCCGTCTTGGTCGGTTTGTCTCTGACTGAGACAGCTATGAAGCTAATGGCTGCATCTATAAATATCTACAAAACTTTATGACATTGCTACAGTAATAAATTCAGATTATTCATTTTCCCCTTAGTTCTGACCGAAGACTTGACAAGTGGTTTACCTTAAGAGCAGTTATTGTTGGATTCACCAACATGACAGCCGCAGTTGGAGTGGCAAAAATCCCACAGTTGTTGAGACCGTCCCAGCTGTTGAAGGTATGAAAATAGGATAGATATATTACGGTCTGTTTCACTCACACATGGTGTATAACACTTAAGATCAATGAGAAAATATGTATCATATATTACATTTAGCTTATATTCGTAAAACAAATCATTATTCACTAATGTCGTAAAACTTCTTTTTCAAATATTATTTCAATTAAATGTAGTATATACAAGCTATCTGATGATAAAAAACCATCACCATCTAAACATAGTCACATAAATATTGTGTACTACTGACATGGAAATATCTCAATTTCCCCATCAATACCTGTTCCAATTCGATTGTGATGTACTAAAATATGTTACTCATACTTTCAGAACATGATCCAACATCCAGAGACATCGTGGTTTTAGAGGAAATGAGAAGCTGTCGGTCGTGGACCAGCGTTTCAGCGGTAAAGAAAGGAAGCTTACTATCTGTGGATGACGGAAAGTTCCTTTTCTGTATTTAGTGGTATGCAACTGAATTGCTTGCTCTTGCACAGGGGCGGAAATTGTGGGTGGATGGTATGGGGCAACACATAAAAAGTTGTAGCATGCGGCGTTCGAAATAGCTATTGGCCCGCTGGCCAAATGCTAGCTGATTGTGAATCGGGCCTGTAATATATTGTTCAAGCTATCCCGACTGGCTAGCTGAAAATATCAGATAATTTGTTCTTTATTCAATGCACATGAATATGATTAAGTCAATTATTATGGTGTTAAAAATCCGTCCGCAAAAGCTTCGTGATATTTACTATCTCTTGTCACACGAAGATTGCTATATAAAAAATGTTAACAGCGTTGCGCCAAAGAGGTTTCGAACCATTTCCATACAAATGTAACGTTTGACATCTTAAATGAACAAACATCAAACCAATTCTGACGGATGTGCATTTTGATACTGATATTTTGCAGGGTCAGTGAAGTATGATTTGGGATAGCAACATTTTAATTAAGTAGTCCCCCCTGGCTTGTAACTTTTCAAAATTAATTCATACACTGGTAGTATGAGTAGTGAAATTGATGTACGGCTGTTGTGGAAGGTGACGTTGCGCTGCATCGATCCAACCGAACAATGCGGACCCATTCCATCTAGCAGTGACTCTACCAATGGACTTCCGGCTGACCTTCCGAAAACTGGTTTTGAAACCTAAGTTCATTGCCAACATTTCTCCTCAAGGCTACTGACGACAGTGTCACTACTCCCTTCAGTGTCTCCACTGGCTCAACTAGGTCTTTCACCAGCTCCCTCACCTGCACATTCATGGCGGAGATGTTGGTTTTAACTGTGTTGATGGCAGTCAGTATATGGTGGATGACTCCACAACATGCGCTGTGTACTTTGCCTTGTTCTGGCAGAGATGTCCCTGCTCCTTCACGATAGGCCAATGTGAAACACACACCGCCAAGGATCCAACACACTGGGGACGATAGCACCAACATCGTTAAAACAATGAAACGGCTTATGAATAACACATTATGCCACGACTCCCGATTGCACAAGGCCATGAGGCTATTTGGGTGGTTCGTATGGGAACGTCTGATTGTCAGGTGGGTGCGCAGTTTCATTGCCACCAAACCCAGCAGTGTTCATCCCACAGGACCTCCACACGTGTCACACCGCCACCAGATATGACTGCCCCATGTCTGACACAGGTTCAAGACTGCAGTGAACACTGCTCAGACCTTTCCAGGATGTCTGTCTATCAACCACGTAGTACGACCTATCATGATACAGCGTCGGAAAACCGCCCAAGATGGTGAAATCATGTCCGTCAACCTCGGTTTTCGTTAAAGACTGTTGTTCTACATGAGAGTCCAGATTTAACATTTCCCGTAGTGACGAACGTCAACGTGACTACAGACGTCTTTGGGATCGTTGTCTCAAACGTGTGTCATGGAGAAGAATCACTTCTGGGTGTTTCCGTGACGATTTGAGGTGGAATAAGTGAACGTTTTTGAACTCCTATAGCTGGTGTGGCATCAGAGATCAGATTCTCGGAACAATGTCATTTCCAGTTCTTATTGGTCCAGGATTGTCCCATGCTCACGCAGCTAGGATTGCAATGACTTTTCGTCAACAGCACAATGCTTAAGTGCTGCCTTGGATTGTGAATACACCGGAATCTCACCGAGATGAAATGGAGCAAAAGCGCAAGAAAACGTTTGTGCGTTGCAGAGATTATGGCGAGCATTTAACAAGCTTTCCATACCCATTTGGTAGACTCAATGCGTCGGGAATGCACTGCTGTTCTTGCTTCTCACAGTGGTCATAGCCGTTATTGAGTTTGTAGCACTGTTCGGAGACTCCTTCCCCGCATTTGGACTTGTAATGTTTATATCACAGACTTTTAATATGCTGTTCTACCGACTTCTTATTTCAATATCCACCTACTAAACCTTACGTGGAAACGTGTTGTTATGTTTTCAAATTTAGAATGCATTTTAACAACGCAGTTTCTTTTTGTGGCTGGTATATAGTGTAGCCGTCACGAGTCCATGGTGGAAAACAGATGTGGACAGCCTTGTAAGCAGTTGCTTGGGGTACACTGCACGTGCACTGATGACGAGCATGCATGAGTTTGCTTTGTGACAGGTTTACGAGAACGCTCATTCACGTTCGTTGAGCATCCATTCCATGTACTGTCCTTGCTCATGAAAGTGTATTAGCGTCCCCGTAAACCTGTCACACAGCAAACTCACACAGAAGAGTTCTGACTTCACCAATCAAAGCTGATGGTGTAAGCTATTAATTAGGTTCAGTTTAAACCTGGCACTCTTCTGATATTGTTTGTTATTTTCCTCCCTGTTCATCTCTTTCTGGTGTGGGGGCAGTGGTGTAGCCTACTGGTCAAGGCGTTAGCTCGTCACGCCAAAGACCCGGGATCGATTCGCCACATGGGCACAATGTGTGAAGCTCATTTCTGGTGTTCCCTGCCGTAAAATTGCTAAAAACGACGTAAAATAAACTCACTCACTCAGTTTCTGATGTGAAGTTCATCAACGTGCCAGAGTTTACTGGCGACCGAGACGTTCAGTATAAATAGTGGCGCAGAGTAGTTTTATGTCAGAATGATGATAGACAATAAAGGAACATTTGAGATTACAGTAGCTTGTCCTTGTGGGCTTTATTTGATGATAGTCAATAACAGGTGATAAAACCTGTGGCTGCAGCTGGCTGCTATGCCAGTCCTTGATAACCGTGGTGCTGTTAGCACCGTCTACAATCCTTCTGGACTCCTGTGGTTTCTTCCATTAGCAAACATGTTGTGTAGGAGAAGACAATGTTTCCATGTAGCACAAAAATACAAATTAGCCTTCTGTAAAATTCTCTTTTGGTTCAAGCTTCAAGAAAATAATTATGGCTGACACCTTTCTATTATACATGCTACAAGAAACACACAACGTGCACGGAACACCACAGCACAAATCTGTAACCTCTTTATATTTTCTCGAAAGGTAATCACACCTCTGGTTTCTGTGGACCAAATGCAAACTCATCAATGACTCTCTTTTCCCAGCACTGAATGACTGCCAGCATGGATCCGTCCTGGATTATCGTCTTTTCTGGTTTCATGATCAAACTGTGCGGACCAAGCTTGAGCTACGTTGCTGGAGTGTACCACGTGGCTCTGATGGAACAATTTGAAGACATTGAAGTAGTTTCTTGGCTGGGATCAACATTTGCCTGCATGTATTCCTTGACAGGTACGGCCATGCTTACTAAAGTGCTAGTAAAATTTCAAAAGAAAATTGCTTCACCGAATTCAGTTCTACATGACAGTCTACCGACATGCACAAGTACGTAACGAATAAAATTCTACCTTTAACTTCAAGTGTATTTATATATTGCTACGTGTCTACACCATGCACTGTTAAAACGCAAACTCACCCATTATAACCGTTTTTACTTGTAAAACGGGCCTCTGTTCATAAATATAGAAGAACTGAAACTTAAAGTGTACTTGTAACGTCTTTAAAACACACTGAAGCCTGTTATACAATAGGCATTAACTCAGATTAACTCCTGGAGCATTCCTATGAGCAGAATGGTATAACCGTCTGACCAATCTGGTAGTTTGTGAGTGGTCCGACACTGTCAGTTTGGATCTTACGTTAAAAAACCCCCAGAATTCAATGAACAAACTGAAAATTTCAGTTTGACTCAGATTTTCAAAGAGTACATTAATCAATCTCCCAGGTCCGCTAGCCAGCCTCGTTATCAACTCCTACGACTGCAGGACGTGCGTGCTACTGTCAGGAATTCTGGGGATGCTGGGATTTGGTGCCAGCTTCTTCATCCGGGACATCAGGCTGCTGTTTATCTCATACGCATTAGTTGCAGGTGTGTACACAAAGAAAACACTGTAAGTATTTTCCGCGTGAATGAAGTCAGTAAATGCATCTATATGTCTTGTGAGTCAAACAAATGGCAGTTATGTCTCATCTGTGGATAAGACTACATCCGTGTTGCGTTGTTATAGCGTTTGCCTTGGGAGCGGAGGTCCCCGATCGTGTCATATCAAAAGACATCATATCAAAATATTCATTTTCACCCTGCCTGGTACTCGGCAACAATGATCGAAGTCTGTGTACTGTGTCTGAACTTAGTACCCATGCTAAAATACGACATGGTATCTCAGTGGGCAGAAATTAAAAAAACAATCATTCTTGGTTGAATATGAGCTCACAGCATCAAGTCTTGGTTTGTCTGTCACAGAATTGGAAGAAGTACCGACAATGGCAAGAAACAAACACAAAGCAGTATTCTGGTAAAACTGTGTTGAATTCAACTTTCTCTTTCAATGTTTCAGGTCTGGGAACAGGATTTGCTCAAGGTGGATGCATGACGGCTGTTGGTTATCATTTTCCCAAGTCTGCCAGTTTAGTTTCCGGTCTAATCACCTGCGGTTCCGGCCTTGGTGTGTTCATTCATCCTATGTTGATACAATTTCTGCTGAGCCAGTATGGCCTGCACGGAGCATTCCTTCTCAACGGTGGGGTCATGTTTAATCTTTGTGTTTTCGGGATGCTCTTGAAACAGTCTCCATTTGAAAGAGAGCGGAAGAGGACCTCTGCCACAAGGCACCTGTCTTGCAGTCAAACTTTGCGGTCACTTTGTGGGCATTGTTTACAGTTTATAACCGTTTTCAAAAGTCCGTCATTTGTTATGCTGTCTTTCAGTATATTTTGCTACTCTACTGCATTATCTACACTGTATCTCTACTTGCCGGACTTCTTTTTCAAGAATGGGGCGTCACTGCAGGATTCGGCTCTTGCCATTTCCTTTTCTGGGATTGGAGGTATGGTCTCTCGCGTCCTCGTGGGGTTTGCTGCAAACGATGAATCAGTGGGCAGTGGTGTATTCTATAACTGCTTACCAAGTTTTGTAGCAACTCTGACTTTATTTCTACCGTTCTTCAGCCTTAACATGGAAGGAAGAATTATCTACGGATTTCTAACAGGCACATACACTGGCGGACAGTTCGTGGCACTGGTGCCGATAATCCTGGAAACTGTTGATGATAAGTTCTTCGCTTCTGGGATGGGAATAGCGTCCTTCTCATATGGCATAGGTACTCTTTTTGGACCACCGATAGCAGGTAAACTGTCGCATACAACACCACCATGAACTACTTTTGTCAATAGGCAGTTGAACTGAAACTGGGCTTATGTCGGTATTTGGTGGCCAGGTTGGTTTGTTGTTTAACGCCGAACCCAGCAATATTTCAGCTATATGCCGGCCGTCTTCAAATATTCGAATCTAGACCAGACAATCCAGTGATCAACATCATGACCATCGTTCTACGCAATTGGGATACAATGACATGTCAAGTCAGCGAGCCTGATCGGGTGGTTAGACACATGACTAGGTTGATGCATATCATCGGATCCCAACTGGTCGATGCTCATGCTGTCCATCACTGGATTATCTGGTCAAGACTCGATTATCTACGGACCTCCGTCGTATTGCTGGAATATTGCCGAGTGCGGTGTTAAACAAACCACACTCCGGCACAGCGATGACTTAACATAACATCACTGCCACAGGCTAATTTGCATATCACGTGACCGGACTTTTCTCTTGTTTGCAATCAAACGCGCATATTCAAAATAAGAAGAGACTGGACTCACGAAAGCTTTTCGGCGCTCTCTTCATAATGATTTACATTGTTACATATATATTCTTCGACAACTGCGACAGTAAGGTCTATGACAGTACATATTTAGATATCAAACTGGTTGCATCGTTTGCTCTCCATCAGCTTCGATGACAGCACGTGGAGCCGTACAACCTATGTAAACAAAGGATCGCTCCGCAAATCGAAATAGTGTTACATGTTTTAGGATATTTTCTCAATGAAACTAAACCATTCTATCAAAGATGTTTAATTAGTTGTGTAGACTCGTCAAAAATAAAAGAGTTGAGAAATATGTAAATTATATTGAATGGACGGTGCAAGATGTGACGAATCGTCACATTTTGCTGGCCTGTGGCAGAGATACTATGCTGGCTTGCCGGATGGAACTCAGGGTAGGAGAGTGTAAACAAACGTCTTGGTCAGGCACACGTGCCAGTGGTATGGTGAGAAAAGTCAAAAGCAGTACGATAACACTCGATAAACCAGTTCACGGAAGTCGATCCCGATCCTCCTCCTCCTCTCCGTGGAGATCCGGGTTAGAATTGGTCTTCAGCAGCCCATGCTTGTTGTAAGAGGCGACTAAAGGGTCGGGTTGGTCAAGTTCGCTGGCTTGGTTCATGCATCGTATTCCGACTGCGTACATCGATACGTATGATATCGATCACTGGGTTGCCTGGTCAGTTGTTTACAGACCGCCGCCCTATAACTGATGTGAGTGAGTTTAGTTTTACGCCGCTTTTAGCACTATTCCAGCAATATCACAGCGACGGACACCATGAATGAGCTTCACACATTGTACCCATGTGAGGAATCGAACACGGATCTTCGACGTGACGAGCGAACGCTTTAATAACAGGGCTACCCCACATCCCTATAGCTTGCATATTGCTGAGTTCCCCTCTGGGCGGGGGCGGGGGTTCGGACTCGCGTGGTTGATTAACCCTTAATGGTATATGCTTTCTATTTAACAGGAATCATATACAAGAAAAGCGGACAGTTCTTCAGTGTGTTTACTTTCTCAGGTAACAAAAGCTCTTGATTGTAATGTCTCAATATGTATTTTGGACCTTTTTTCTAGTTAGGCCAAGTTCTGATTGTATCATTTACATTAAGTCATTGGCTAATTTTTACATGTTATTGAATGTTTCACCTTTAAATATACTGCTGATACAAATATACGTTTTCTTAATTAGCCGTGATGCTGTTTCTAACAACTGCCTTTGGGTTCTGTTCCACGGTACTGAGGCGTCCAAGAAGCGTCTGTGAACCTGAACCTGAACCTGAATACAAGCCGACTGATGCTCCTCCTGAGACAGAACCTCTGGCTCAAACCTGAACCTGAATACAAGCCGACTGATGCTCCTCCTGAGGCAGAACCTCTGGCTCAATAAATTACGTTTGCTGCACTTGTCTGAAGTCAGCTAAGGGTGCATGAAATTGTTGTTCACATATATCTATTTTATATCAAACTTTAAAAAGCATGGAAAGTGTAATGTTTGCTTGAAACACTTGACCGGAATCTTGATAATGACATGGAGAAAGTTCAAGCATGTAAAGCAACTCGTTCCATAGCTTCCCGGTCCAGATAGTTCGGATGTATCGGAACAAGTTCAGTGAAATGAAAAACGAGAATAGACGTGCCATGGGTAGGCACTTTGCTGGACACTGCGTTACAGCAGTTGGACGAGCCCTGGGCTGTAGTCGTCAGAAAATGCAAAGTCATGAGTCACAATAGAATGATGCCAGAATCCACTTTTCATCATCTGTATTGTAACCTGGATGTATGGTGTACATGTATTTTTATTCCAATTCACACACTGCTTCCACTGTGGGATTCATTTCAACAAATCTCAAGTTCTTAATTTGGTTGAGTAATATTTACTGATTCAATGGCAGCTGAATATTCGACAAACCGGAAGAAGTCACATTTGTAAAAGATCCTGGAAACGTATTTCAAATCAATATTTTTCGTGTTTGTTGCTCAGATGGTAATGCAGGTGACGTCATCGAACTGCTGACGAATCGCCTCGATCTTGTCGCAGAAATAGGTTGAAAATCTTTCTGCTATCTCCAAGGTTACGTCACCAGAAGGCAAGAATGGATCAGTCTTTCTACCCATCAGGGAGAACATAAGTTTATACAGTGCCTTGGGATCAGATGTACTTTCCTCGATTTTAGCATTCATATATGTGCGTTTTGCTTGTCTGTCTTATTGGAAGCGTTCCTGGCAGAGACATATATAATTCGTACTGACGTTTTTTTGCTGCTAAGTATATATTTCAATAATTTAACAAACGTGACAAAGCCGTAAATACTAATGCGACAGTATTGTACTGTTCAAATATAAATTACACAAAATCCTTTCCTTTGTAACTTTCCGAATACAACCATATCACGAACATGTGTTCATGAACCACTATCGAATAGGGAGGATTCCAGATGTTCCGGGGAAAAGGTGAGAATGTCTTTCACCGCCGGTGGCACCCTGAAAAAAAACGTTTTTCGTATTTAGCCAATACAAGCCTTGGCAAATAATCCAAAATACCATCTGTTTGATTGACATTGATTTGCATAAAGTATCATACAAGTTGAATAAAATTCTGAGATTTAAATGTTCATTTGGCAGTGTAAAATTATGAGGATTCGCAATCATAATTTCACATAATTTGATTTGCTTTTTTGTTTAAAGTGAAATTCATCGGTACGTTTTCACTGCAAACAGACTATAGTTGAATATCGGAGCTTATATTTCAAATAAATATGTCTCCATCAATTATGTATTTGGATATGATTTTAATTATGATAAAACATTGTATACAATAGAATGGAAATATGAATGGACAAATATACTACCCATCAAAAGTTTAGACTCACTAGTGTAAATGTATCCACTTTTTCAGTCAACTGTTCTAAACTAGATTTTGCAAAATATTCGATACTGTTTAAGGGTACTGTTAACACATGAACTGATGTATTGTAAAATAAATTCGTAACGTTGAAAACATTATTGTCATGAGTTCAATAAATGGTGAAACTCAGTGAAAATTGGCGAATTCTTAACAAGACTTTACACCAAAATGCAGCTGTTCACATGCATGATATTTGCAGATGCTTTTCAGCAATTTAGTGCATAATCCTCGTGCATTTCATCTGCATCAGGTTTGCAGTTGGTTCCCCCAAGTTAGTGGAGAAATTCATCTTCGATGTAACCATATATATACATAACATATAGTGATCGAGTGCTTTAAGTGAGTATAAACTTTTGATGGGTAGTACATATGTATTGATACACGTGAGTGTATCGTATCGATTGAGAATATTTCAACATGCTTGATGGGTAGTATATATTAATTGAAACACGTGACTGTATCGTATCGATTGAGAATATTTCAACATGCTTGATGGGTAGTATATATGAATTGATACACGTGACTGTATCGTATCGATTGAGAATATTTCAACATGCTTGATGGGTAGTATATATGAATTGATACACGTGACTGTATCGTATCGATTGAGAATATTTCAACATGCTTGATGGGTAGTATATATGAATTGATACACGTGACTGTATCGTTTCGATTGAGAATATTTCTGGAGTATGGTTACATGCCACTTTCTGGAGTATGGTTACACGCCACTTTCTGGAGTATGGTTACACGCCACTTTCTGGAGTATGGTTACACGCCACTTTCTGGAGTATGGTTACACGCCACTTTCTGGAGTATGGTTACACGCCACTTTCTGGAGTATGGTTACACGCCACTTTTAGCCAAATTCCAGCAACATCACATCAGAAATAGGCTTCACACATTGAATCCCTGGACAATATAACCCGGATGTTCGGCGTGGTGAGCAAACACTAGCCACTACACTAACCCTCCGACCCGAGAATATTGTCAGTGCATCGGTGTACTGTTACATGTTCACATCCCTTGTATTGCACCTAATTGCCAATTCGAATAACTGTTATATTCGGATTTTATCAGGTTTGGTGCGTTGTGATGGGATTTTGTAACAACATATAATCAATTCCAGCTATGGCTCGAAAGAAATTTATCCTCGGGATTCACTCCGAACCTCCTAAGGGACCGTTCATAATTTATGGCAAGGGGGGTGATGATGATTTTTATGTAGAAGCATGTACAATGTGAATGACCCCCCTAAAATTCATGTACAAAATAAGTCACCCCCCTGCATGTCATGTACGAAATCAATGACCCCCCTCCCCTTCCCATAATTTCTAAGCATAATTTTAAACATATTTTTATGTAACGAATTGGTGACCCCCCTAGTTAGTGTGTACAAAATTGCTGACCCCCCTTAAAATCATCATAAACCCCCTCTTTCCTCCCCGGTATAAAATTGTTATGAACTAGTTCTGCTTTCGAAATGCGCGACCGCAAATACTCGCTACACTTCGTTTAACGGGACCATGTATACTCCTTTCTCATGTGTCGGCCATTAATCGCGAAAACGAGAATCGGTACACACAATGTTTTCTTCCGGTATTTCCGCCCCGAGAATCCATCGTCTGCTAGAGATATGTCATCTCACGACCCATCACTTCCACAGTGGACAAAAAGTCTGAAAACTCTGACAGCTGTCGAATAAACCGATTTTGAAGCATGGAAGACGAACTGCCGCATTCCAACAGCTCTCCACAAGAAGGCTTACAACAATTTCGTTTCTTTCATTCACGATGATGAAGATAAACACTGTCAGACAATTCTTGACATTTCACGTTTGATGTACCCATAACAATATCTATATGTCTGTTTGACGTACAAGTACCGTTATATTTTTCATCATTTTTGCGCGACTGATATTGTGGAATATTACATACTGATTATACATAAGGATATACTTTGCAAAGCCTAATTATGATAAACAATATTTACATGGATAAATGATAGTGAAGTTCAAATTCTTATGCCTGATTCAGTTTATGTAACAACATTCCCTTTTATTTTGCTTATTGATTATTAAAAATCATGAATATTCATTTAATGAAACTATTGTTATAGTTTGTGATTTTTTAATGAAACAAATGATTTATCATAGAGCTGTGGTCTGTAATAAGAGATGTAGCCTAATAGTATTACATGTATACATGTATTATACTAAACCGAACCGGGCTACCAAGCTTGGTTGTCACAGCTGATGGCAGTAGCAACAGATGGCCTATTTCGGTAGGATGAGGTCGGTTAAAAGGCATTCCTGCGATGATTATCTGTTCCTAGCTGACGACTGGCAAGCAAAGGACCATGAGTAAAGGTAGGCGTACATTTCGTTGCATTTAACATAATCTTGACAACCAGAGTAGTACTATTTATATACTAGTATTCGTTGTGACAGTGTTTTAGTATTATAGGGGATATGTCTATTATTTATATCAACTTATAGGTCGGCCAAGTTACCAAATCGAGCAAATTGAATTTATTGTTTATTGTGTGATGATGATAATGTACCAGTCCTGTGCTTGAATATTTATTTTTCATATTTGGTCGCATATACTCTGTCACACGACTTTTTAATTTAACTAATAAATCTTCAAATGGGAATTACCAAATTTGTTAGTTTTGCTTAGAATTTATACAGAATGTTTTAAGACATTTTGGTTTTATGCATTGCTGAAAGCATGTGCTTAAATAGTTGTATAATTATCATTATTAATTTGTATAACCAACGATAACAGACACAGTAACAAAGATGTTTTTGTCGGGGTTTCTATCACATATTCGTGGTGACTATAGAAATTAAGATAACAAAAATTAAGAAAACAAGCTCAAAAGAGCTATGAAAAATGTTTTGCAGAAGTGAAAGTGACCAAACTGCAAGACCAAATACATTACATTGTAGAGGCATTGATTAAATCACATTTCCTCGATCATGAAAGATACCGACCAAAACACTGAAGTACAATTATTCTGAGGGAAGACAGGAAGTGATTTTCCACCATGTCAGCTATATATTTGTCATAACACTGCAGACAGTGACCAATAACTTAATTCAAGTAGGTTTTAATACCTGACTTTTCAATGCACTTAGAATTTTCATCTTGATAATAGCACATATTTATCATTTTCCACTGACTGTTTCATGACACTCTTACTGTCCTTTGTCGACTGACATTCACTCACACATTAACACTGGTGTTCACCTTCGCATTTGTCCTACTAAATACAACATATGTCGGCCTTCCCTTTCTTTTTACAGTTTTACACTTATACGCTTAACGGCTAATAATATGCAATATATTGCAATATATTCTAACATGTAATATTACCATAAATGTGTGTTTTAACCAAAGATGAAATAAATGGATTAAAAACA